TATGCACCAACGCTGATGCGTTGCGTTTGTAATGCATCGCTGCTGACCACCTGGAAACGTGGGCCGGTGTTGTGCCAAAAATCAATTGGCTGCCAAATGGCAGCCACGGGAGCGTGCACAGGAGGATTTTAACAAGAATTTAATAAGATAAATAATAATAATAAATAAAAAAAGTGCTATGTGTTGTCATCATTGTATATTTCCATACAAAGACGAAACTGGCTCTCTGCATTTAACCCATCGCACCTGCATGGGATACAACCAGGTGGAGCAGTGGGCAGCCATGTAAGCACCCGGTGAGCAATTCGGGATTAAGTGTCCTGCTCAGAGACACCACGAGATGTGCAATGACCGGGGATCAAACCCAGGACATTTGGGTGCAGTGAAATGCAGCTGATTTGACGTTTGCTCCAGGAGTTCCGGAGCGAGACGAAGGTGGCTTAGTATGGCAAGCCAAGTGTCTCATAGCCACTTTTACCTATTAATGAGACACTTTGCTTGCCATAATGCTCGAGCACCCTCTAGCAGCTGAAAATGGTAATGTTCAATATTTTTCATGTCAAAATGAATTAAATCATCAGATCTCAGCCAAAAACTGGATTATAATGGGACAAAAACTTATATTAGGAACCTTGGTGTATAAGTCGCAGGACTTGCAAATTTATGCAAAACGGTGCGACTTATACGGCAAAAAATACGGTAGCCCCAATTTTCAACTGTTCTTGTTCTTCTGAGCAATGATCCTGGCCACGCATGCAAACAATCTCATGCACACTGAGCAGATATGACATGGCCCACCTCTTTTACACTTTTGCCTCAAACTTGACTTGAGGCTGAACGGCCAGTCGTGCAGAGTAATGTCAAACGCTGCAGTGAAGGAGGAGAGACAGAGCGTTGGCCGTGCAAACGCTATAATGAAAGTGTGAGACAGTGGATCAGGGCTGACAGCAGCCTTCAACGGGAGGAGACATCTATGGATCACTCGTGTCAGCTGGTTGTGGACCGACGCTTTAATGGAAACATTTACCCATCAAGAAGCTCTGATCTGCATGTTGTGAGAGGAATGAAATGAGTGTGACAGGCAGATTTGTTGACACGAGTCAGGGTGACAGTTCAGATTAAGGAAAGATATGTGATGGAAACAAAATCTAAATTTATCAGGAGTCAAGTAAACATTCACACATAGTTTGGAGACATTTTGCATGTTCAGATTTTCATAATTTGTCAAGTGTTTAAAAATGACAAAAAATTTGACAATACAATTAGTCAATGTAAGTTTTATTATATTTGACTGAGTGGAAGGACAAATCGTGAAACGTGCTGAATTAAAATTGTTCATTTACTTTTGAAATTAAGTAAACTTAAAAATAGCAAAAAATTAAAGGTATTTAAGTAAAAATAGGAGATTTGAGAAAATCATGAAACAGTTGGAGCAAAAACTCATCTTTATTTAAACCAAAATATAAATTTTGTGCCAAGAGCTTGACTTTAAAAAGTATTTTTTACATTAGTTTGTTGAGATGCTTAACCATCCATCCATTCATTATCTTTACCCGCTTATTCCATTTTGGGTCACGGGGGTCGCTGGTGCCCATGTCCAGCAATCACTGTGCGAGGGGCAGGGTACACCCTGGACGGGTCACAAGTCCATCACAGGGACACACAGAGACAAACGAGACAAACAAACATTTACTCTCTCACTCACACTAGGGACAATTTAGAGTTACCAATCAGCCTAACATGCATGTTTTTGGTCTGTGGGAGGAAACCGGAGTACCCGGAGAAAACCCACGCATGCACGGAGAGAACATGCAAACTCCACCCAGAAAGGCCCCTGGACCAGGGTTTGAACCAGGGACCTGCTCGCTGAGAGGCAGCAGTTGCGCCACCGTGCTGCCTGAGATGCTTAACCTGTACATTTAACACTTACACATAATTATCATTGTATTTCTCATTGCTATTGGCATTTCAGCCAACTTTATTGAGATAATGTCAACTTACAAATATTTAGGTATTGATGATCAAATTATTAAAAGTGCACAATGAGAATTTTGTCAACAAAAAAAAAAGACATTTTAAAAAGCTAAAGGGCCTGTTTTTAATATTCAAAAGGGGAAAATGGTCTTTAAATGTTCTGGTGACATGTGCTGCTTCCTCTGCACTTGGCTTTCCATATTTCATAATTTTTTTACATTTCACAACAACTTTATTGTATATCTGATTTCTTTAAACCTCAGGAGACAACATGTAAACTCTCCTTCTGTTTCATAAGATGAGCACTCCTCTGGTTCGACTCTTTTGAAGAGTTGCCAAGATTTTTCTGTACTTTCTCTTACTTTGCAACTCAGTCTTTCCCCCATTTTTTTAAGGTTTAAAGCTTTGGTAAAGTCTTGTTTTGAAAGAGTAACTTTTTTCTTAATCTGGGTTTACTTGGTTTATTTTCATTCTGACTTGCCTTTTAAATTTACTTATTTAAGACAATAATTGTAGGGGGGGGGGGGGGGTAGCTTTGAACTGTGTTATGGTGTATACATAAATGCGTATTTAAGAGCAACATATAATCATATTAAAGAAAATCCAAAGATAAAGATATAAACAAAATTGCATAAAAAATTTTGGGTGACATATTTTTGTCCCATTTGTTACAGTATGCAGTTTTTCTTTTTGTATGATCTCCCTCATCATATCACTGACTCTTAAATAAGAGGCTATTTCACTGCTGAAAAGTTCAAATGGAAGGGGTCACGTGCAGGAACATCTGCTTTAAAATGGACTTCCTGGCCACAGAAGCTGAGTTTTTCTCCCCTGGATGTCTGCGGTGTCTCCCACATTAGTGAGCTCTGAGAGCTGCATGTCAGTAATTACAGCTTGTCAGCTCCTGTGACACCAGGCTGAAGGGCCCTCTCTGCAGCCTCTTTCTGTTTGGGAGAGTTGTGTGTTGCTTTGGTCATATATTGACCTCATTAAAGCGCACGTTGAAGGAAATATTTCATGGTGAAGAGTGTTGTTCTTTACAGAAGTCTTTGGGGGAATGTAAGGTGAGCATCATATGTAAAGCTCGAGGCTCATTTATTTCTGTTCGCCCATCTACCTGGAAGAGTGAACACGTCGCCGCCTCCGCTGCTCCTCCGTGTCACACTCCTCCAGTTAAATCATAAAAAAAAAGATCAGACAAGAAAAGATGTGTTTAATATTATTGACATAAATAAAAAGAGTTTTTTTTATGGTTAAATTACTTTTATAAGCGTCTGAAGTGCCAGGTGCCACTTTGTCCCCTGCTGGCTGCTGGTGCATGTTTTAGTTTCATTTCATTATCGTGCGCAAATTGAATGCGTAAAAGCTCTCCATCCTAATGTGTGCTATCAGGTAAAGGAGAATCAAATCTAAAACAAGGCAGGAAATGGAAAAGTTTAGGCATTAGGTCGGATCGTGAAGTCAATAGGCTGCTCCGTGAAGAGTTGGAGAGATCTAAGATTTTATTTAGTTTCAATCTCCCAGACATTTTGATGGAACTCACCTGGCGGGAGTAGATGAAGTTAATTGATTTTAAAGTGACGCCTCCGAGGTTTAGAGGAGGGGGGTGTCCACTTCAGTGCTCTGCCAAACCCCTCCAGTTTGTACCTGAATTCAGGGGCAGTGATGTGTTGCTGATGCGACTCAACAAGCCGCACTGGGGGGGGGGGGGGGGGGGGGGGGGAGGGGGGGGGCCGGGGGGGGGGGGGGGGGGGGGGATGAAGGGTAATAAATTAACTTCTGCTCTGGTCTTTCGGGTTTGATCGTAATTTTATTGATAATAAGATTTAAAGTTATCAGTTTCAGGACGGGTGGGGTGTCTGCAGGACGCAAACGGGCCTCTTTAAACCCGTTTAGGCTGCAGCGACGTTTCACAAAGAGTGGACACCACACGCACACACACTGCGCGCGCATGCACCATAAAAGTCTGCAGCGAATCTTCCTTGTGAGCGAACGAGAAAAAGA